AAAGAAAACAAGAAAAAATCTTATTTCCCCTTTTTCGTGCAGGCATGGTCTTGAGCTCGAGAGCTCTCTTCGAATTTGAACCTGCTCAAATCAGTTTTAAGAGTGGTTGAAGGGAGTTCTTCTTCGTTTGACCAGACCATGTCAAGTCAACCTTAGTTTGCTAACTTCTCGACTTGCGCCTTCTCGTCCATCAGTTCGCGTTATCGATGGTCAGTGGAACTCGGACCTGATCATCGTATTTAAAAGTTTTGGTTCAAAACCCACTCCTCCTAACAGGATTAATCGAAAATGTCCTAACAGGAACAGTTGAAAATGAAAGAGAAGTAATAGGAAGAAATTGGAAATTATAAAGCATGTCAAAGTGCTTTTTGAAGCTAGCGCCCATATTGACCTTGGACTATGTACAATGAAACACTTGTGAAGTTCCGCGATTCACGCCAGGATATTTGTTTATTTCATTCTTGATGCCATGAAAAAGAGTCCAAGGAGGGATGGAATTAGGTCAAGGCGAAATTGTATGCTAAAACGGTTATAATCTCCACGACTGGAACAAAAGCATTTGTCCTCTGGGAATAGTGTGACGGAGAAATTGGAAAAGAGTTCTTCAGCGTATGATCTGAGTTGCCGGTATATATTTATACAGTTAATTGCCCGGAGAGAGGCTTATTTGTGTGTGCTCAGTGATGTTAATCTTTTCGACATGCCGCCGTGTACATTCTTCGTAAGAATACCTCGTCGCTAAGAGATATCTCATCACAGCAATTATGAAGCTTAATTATGTAATATTAGATTGACACTGCAGAAACGAAGACTTCTTTGACAGCAACGCGGTGATTCTTCTTAAATAAGAAAATAAAACTTAGTCTATCAGAGGTTGCTTTAACCCTCCCAACCCTCACCCCTCACCTGGGCATTTTGTTAAGCTGTTTTTACCATCCAAGAATCATCAAACTAAAAAATTGCGAGACAGAAAGAGGCGCTACAAGAGTAAGGTATCTTGCCCAATGGTATAACACAAACTTTTCGCTCAGCGCTCGTACCCCGACCGTTCTAACCATTATACATCACCGCGACTGTTTTGTTCGAATTAGCTAAGATAAGCAAATTAAGTAAACTGATTTAACCGATGAAAAGTTATTTGAGAAGTTTAAAACAAGCTAAAGCAATTAATGACTTAACATTTCTTTGTTTAAAAGTGTTTCCCAGGCACTTACTCAAATAAGAAAGTGTATCAAATGAAGTTTGCTTATTACAAATTGCATAACGACTAGTTGTCATGATCGCTCGAGAATCTCGGTTAAAACGAACTACAACAATGTCGAAAAGACCTCCCTGCGATTCACAGCTGTAGATTGCAGCTACAAATGTAACTAATCACCTTTCAGGATTATTTCGAAGTCTATTGCTTTCCTGTATAGTTGATGTTTATATTATCATTCGCAATACTTTAGTCGTGACCGTGAAATTAAGAATTTTAAATTCTCGCGATTTCTGATCTGGAATTCATATATTCTGGAGGAAGCTAAATTATTCTCAGTTCCGACACGGATCTGTTCTACTTCAAACTCCTTGCCTGCCAAACTTAAAACGCAACGATCGTCATTGGTAACTAGGCTATTCAAGAATTTTCTGTAATTAAAACTGATTGTGTACTTTAATTTAGAAAAATATTTGTCAACGCCCTTGCTAATAAAACCGATAGAGCAATATTTTATGACATAAAGTCGATACTTTCGAGGTCAAATTGACTCGACACGATTACTGCTGAGTTGATTCAAGTCCCTTTGCTCTTTCACCAAAAGTAAGTATATTTCAAGTTTTCCGGTACTTTGATTTATATTTTCTTTAGTCCATAAAAGGCTTTTGAGAACCTATTGCACAATCCAAATCTACCCTACCCTACAGTTTTTCTTAGCGGGTTTTGCAGCAACTTAACAATGAATGCATGGCATGGCCATTTATTTTTTGTTAACTTCAATATACCTTTTTTTGAAGACTTCAAATCACTTTTTTGATTCTAAAAATGACAGCAAAAGACCTTTAACCCTTTCACTCTCATTCGCGCCGTCGCGCATTGACTCAGTGTCGCGGGCTCCCTTTAAATTTGAATCTACTCAAATGCTAAAGAGTCGACGCGGTGTTTTCGCTCCTTTGGAAGCCAGACCATGTCAGCTCCTGTGTGTTACTCGACCCGCATCCAGACGATAAAAGTCACTAAACTAAGCTAAAGCTTAAGTCACTAAACTGCATGAGTAAACTGTTTAGCAGCCAACGCCTTTATTAACGCATGCAAGAGATTGCTGAATTCTTACTTGCGATTTCATTGTAATGTATGTTTGCTTCCCTTGATTGAATGAAACGATTCGGATGGCTTATAAGGAAAAGAGTATTTCTGCGCAACACGTCGTTGAAGAAGACTCGTTTGACGGAGGTAGAGTGATACTAACAGAGGGTGAGATATGCGACGAGAATATAAATCCAAATTGTTAATATGCCTAAACAAAAGCAGGCAAGGTTGCAAATACCAAAACATGAAATCATTTTGTACACGCTTTCTGCACCAAATTAGAAAAAATCAAGATACTAAGACATGTATCATTAGCAATCATTGAAAAATGTAAATTTCCGAGTTGATGCTCTTCTAGAATAGATTGATAGTCGACCAATGTACTTCACACCACTTAACCCTTTCCTAAATGTTTTACAACGTTCCTTAATTAAACAATCCATCGATTCGAATTGTTGGTACCAACCGATTTATACTCCTGTGTGGCGAGAGACTCTCCTAGAGTGACGTGTCCTTAGCTGAACAGAAATAACCCAGCTGGAGAACATCACAACAGCATTGTACATTGCTTAATTTTCAGTCACTTTTTATCTTATTTCGGACAAATTTCGGACTAAACTTTCGGACACTGTGATGAAACATAGCTTAAGTAAATTCACACGAATTAGACAGAAGCAACATCTGTGAAAATGATAGTCTCACTGCACCCTCAAGGTTTTTGGAGATATACCGAGGAGAAAATAACACAGTTCTATCAAGCCGTTACGTATACCTACGTTACGTATACGTACGTTACGTTTCTCAACTAGAGTTCGCCCCACAAAGGAAACTAAGAGCGTTGGAGCTACAAATAATTTTATACTGTTCTGAAAATATTTCGGACGCTTGAAAACTTCGGACGGTTATATTTTCAGACACGTTTTTAGTCCGAAATTAATATCGTCCGATATTTTTTGGCAATGACGTATCTTCACAGTTCGGAGTCTAGTAGAGCGGCCACCGCCAACAGGAAATATTCGGACCCGAAAAAATTCATCTAAGAAATTTTGCGGGCTAGATGTGCCCAAACGTATAAGGAAATTACAAATTCTGTGCTATCAAGTATCTTTTTAAAGTACCCATACGTTTTTTCTCTGAGATAATAGAATACTATCCAAACAGTTCAGGTGTGAATTTGTCGCTGTTCTCTAATGCAGGTAAACTGAGGTAAAACATGGCTCGCTGGGTTATCAAGTGTCTCTTCCTTGCTGCATTATTGTCCATCACTCTGGGTGCCAAGCTCGTTTCAGACAGCAAGGAGAACGAATCCAAAGACAAGCGTGTGACTGTCACCAACAACAATAACAATAACAACAACAATAACAACAACAATAACAACAATAACAACAACAATAACAACAACAACAACAACAACTGGCAGGCGAATCAAATAAACGGGCCTCTTCTTCAGTTTCAGTGCCCGAGAGGTAATGACAGATATTGTGTATTAACTATAGTACAACCTTTTCCCCAAGGCGCTATTCCCTTTAAATGTGTGGCCCTTCCTACATTTGAAGGAAAAAACGCCCTGGGGATTGGACGAGTTTGCCCTGGGAACGAGTCTGTAGGTAGTGCTGGCCAAAATCATTGTGGATTACTTCTGGCCAGTTCTTTCCATGAGACTCGCCTGCAGGCCGAGATCATGGTAGTTGTATTCAACAGAACCGAGTCTAACACTTGGTAACGATGATTACAAATATAAAATAATTCTTTGCAGGTGCGATAGTAAATTGCCAATTTTGACTGCTTGTTGACTGGAAAAAAAAAGCGTTTTGAGGGGTGCGACAAATGGCTGTGTGGATAACTTTTTTCAGTCACATTCACTTGAATAAGTTTCGAATGTTTCTTGGTATTAGAATTGGCATTGGTACTGGTATTGGGGGTAAAAAACCGTGAATATCAGAAGAGGTCCTGGTGGCTTATACACCCTGGATGAAAACTTCTGCCAGGAAACTTCCCTCTGAAAAAGAATTGCGGTTGCTTCATTTTCATACTCATTTTTAATTTTGATTGTGATTGAATTGTTTCCAGGACAGTCTGTCTCTCAGATTTGGATCGACCCAAGTGGAAAATGGAACGTTCTGTGCACCCCGAGCCAGGCTACCTGTAACCGGTATCGATAACATTTGTTCCAACTCCTATTATGGAGCGGTGGCCCCATAGCTAGTGTGATCGTCTCCGGATCGAGCGGTCCGGGTTCGAGCCCTGACTGGGGACAATGTGTCGTGTTCTTGGTCAAAACACTTAACACTCACAATGCCTCTCTCCACCCAGGTGTATAAATGGGTACCGGCGAACTTAATGCTGGGGGTGACCCTGCGATGGACTATTATCCCATCCAGGGGTAGTAGAAATATTCCTAGTCCCTTCATGCTACAGAAACCGGGATAAGCTCCGGCTTGATGAAACACTTGGCTCGTATGCAGACTTTGCCTACCTACCTATTGTGATACCATAATTCAATAGGCTATTTTCGATATATTTTAATTCTAACTTCACTACGAGGTTAGGCAAGTGAAGTAGTATTCGCGTCTGGCGTGTGCGCAAAAGCCCCAAAAGTGCAAATTTGTCCCAAGCCTTTAGTCCATGATTGTAGGCTGGCTCTTCTGCGAACATCCCAATCAGGACCTTATAACGAGATCGATTTGTAAGACCGGTTAATGATCGTTTTCAGCACCCTGTTCGCGCTTTATACCCAGCTTGAGGCCCCATTAGAGGGGGATAGTGGCTCTGCGTATCCCTCATTCCGTCAATTGTTGGCCTAAAATTTTCGTACTCGATATCCTGGTATATCTGTTTTAAATATCCCATTCGCCATTAATAATTCACCCAAATATTCTGTATCTAAAAAATGTCACAACCGTGAAGGAGGTTTGGATAGTGGAAGAGGTTTCGGTCTTAATTAGCATAGATCTTGATGATTTTACTTCTCCGTTTACTCCTTAGTTTTTGTTTCGATTGAGAAGAAATATCAAACACTCGAGACAGTGTTTCATCGGCTATCCAAACACCTCGAATCTCGGCAAAAATATTCCGCTGTACATCGTAATTTCAACTCTCCTCTCGGTATTTGGATATCCCGATGAAATGGTGTCTCTCGTGTTTGATATATTACATCCCGTATCCCGAACACCCCTAGGACCTCCGTTTCGCCCGATTCCCGTCCCGTTATTGCGCAGGTTATGGCTACTGTATATAAACAGAAGTCTCTGAATCGCAGTTTTATAACGTCCTTGTTTTCTGCTCTTCTGTTTTAGTTATTGCGTCTGGTATTTCCAAAATTGCCACCTGACGACCACACCGATCGGATAAAGAACCAGTGTTATCAGCAAAACCGCACACAAGTAGTTTAGAAGCTATGTGGGTAGACTTGATTATGTAGAAAGTTAGAGGCAAACCAGAGGATGTCTGAATCCGCTTAGATTACTGAGTATATACCCGGGAGTATAGTGCGGGTTCGTGGTTTCCTGTCTTAATTATAGGCACAAATGCTTTGATTCAACGCGTAAATTCAATGTGACAGGGTAGATGTGATTTTAAAGATCCTTAGTTATATCCTCACCTGTTGTAAGTTAGAGGGAAAGTTAAAGTAACTAAAAGGGAAATGTTATAGTCAGTTAAAGGGAAAGCACTACATGGCTGGTAGTTAATTTTACGGCATAATTAGCGGAAAAAATATTTTGATTCTGGGCCTGGCAATTAAACTATTAAAAATAGTGAACTCAACGCGTTGGTGGTAAAGCGTAACATATTTCAGTTGTCGCGTGCCCTTCACACTTAATTTATAACCTGATTATCATCGTATTCTTAGATCTACAGACCTTACCACAAATTCGGAGAAGTACTCCCGAAATTTTCGTTAGGGGCGATCGACCTGCTTTCTGAACTCTAATCCTATTTCAGACCAAACTACGTGTGTTTGTTAGAGACCAAAACTTACGATGTTATTTCTGATCTCTAAAAGCAGAACACGTCTCTAATACGCGCCCTTAGCAATACAGGAGAGGCTTCCATTTGTGAAAACATTTGAGAAACGCCTAAAATTTCTACAATGTTAATGGACAAACTGAAAATAGTTCCTGTATAAAAACACACCTTATTCCAGGTTGTCGCATACCTACTGAAAATAGATGTGAGAGAATACCTCTCGAGACTACTAATACAAATTTAGTCTCTTATCACAAGCTTCTTTCTCCTTTTTATCCGTTTTACTCTGTAGTATGAAGTATTATAAACAATTAGACAACGAACTCAAGGACTCATTAACAACAGATAGCTTTCAGCGAGACGCAGTTCTTGTTCTCAAGACTGTTTTCTTTTTACGCGATCAACCCGTGACGTTTTCGTCTTTAGAGATCAACCATTTACTGCTGTATATGTTGCGTTGATAATAAAATCACTCGTTGAGTTCAAAAAACTCATGCCTGATCAATTCTGTTGCATTGGTAACGATCCCGTAAAGCAACAATAAACACGCTGACAAAATCCCTTAAGAAAAAGCGGCCTGTGAAATGTAGTTTGATTCAGTGTCCGTTTAGTCCAGGAACAACTCAAACGATTTACAGTCTTTACAGCGAAAGGAACGCAAGCGGACGGAAGGAGGGGGAACGGGTGGGAGAGCAGCATCGTCTCTTATTCAGTTTTGGTTTTTAGCACTTGTTCAACTAACCCAACGCCCAAAACAGTCTCTGAAAGCGGTCTCTTGGTAGCGTCAAGCTAAACATGAGGTCTAAAAAGCCTGCTGTTTCCCCAGAGGAAACTCTCAAACAAACACTCGTCGACAACGTGCGGATGGTGAGTCCCTAAGGCTACCGAACTCTCGATTTGTGGGTGTAGGTGAAGTACGCTATGCTCTTTCATGTTGATTGGCAAAAGGTTAATTCAAAAGATTTAGACAATTATAGCCCGCAGAGCACGGTTCTACCACGCTAAAGCGTCTGTTCCACAAGCAAGAAAATAATACGAAAACAGAAGAAAATTATTTTCTCTTGACGAAAAAAATAAGGTACACCCGGCTGGCAAATCGTGTTCTTAAAAACTTTGTTATTGGACCCGTAGGTTTTCTTTGCAGAACTAACCATGCGATAATTAATAAGTCCAACGCCACAACAACGAAAGAACAATTCCAAACAACTAGGCCCCGATGTCCCCTAGTTTAAACCCAGAGAGCCCATCATTTCGCACGGCATAGTGTATATCTATGCCATCACTGCTAATCGGTCACATCCTTCAAGAAGAGTTTAAGCGGAATTTCGTTGCCTGAACAGAAGAGTTGACAGAATTTTGAGCGGAAAACACCACGATTTAACTCGTCGCCATGTTACGAGCAGAACCAGTCTCCAAAACATGTTTCCAATGCGAAAACTTGCCATGTCATACAGCCTTGAATATCATAGTCATATTTCAGTATTCTGCGTTTTCACTGGCTTCAATCGTTTAACTCTCGTAACGAGAAACTTCACTAGGGTTCTCTAGCAGCGGGGAAACGACAACTGTAATAATGTATGAGAATAACAACAGCAATACGAATGACAGGCGAGTGGTCCAAGGATAGCAGACCCCCCACCCACCCGATGGCGAGAAACTAACCAAACCATGAAATCAGTCCAATATTTCGGCCGAAATTGCCTTTCCATCCTTGTCCTACTGCACTAATAATTTCTGACTACATTTCGATACATTGTACATGTAGATCTGCCAAGTTTACCTACAGAAATTCCACAATTGCATATCACTGAAAGTTGTGATTGTTCTCTTTTGTATAGATATTGAGCAAGGAAGCTCAGGGAAGCCAACAAGGCTTAGGTAAAGGACTATATGTACCTTAAATGTACCTATGACTTAATTGAAACGGAAGATCATAAAAGTTCAAAACTATATGGCCATAAATTGCTGTAGAAATCTCATGGGAATCAAGTAACCACACACCTGAAGCAGGTTACCTAGGTTTGTCTTTATTCGTACTCCTTCGTATTTTGTAGGTTTGAAAAAATAACTGTTTTTTTTGTTTTTGTTTTTTGCTTTGTTTTACATACAAATCGTTATAATATTATTTCAAATATTCCATAACCTGATGTACTACTGTATGTGCAAGGATGCTCATTTCCAAGCTTGGGCCACCTGTGATGCTACCCATCCAAAGACCATCGCCAGATCTTGATTTTCTTGTCAAGCGACCCCGACACTATGACTTGTTCAGAAGGATGGACATGGCAGCACAACACAGGTCGTGTGTGTCCTGTCAGTTTTCCGACCACTTGGCGGGTCTTAACGTCCCATATATAAAGGTGATTATCCTCAGATCCAGATATCACCCACTTGCCATTTACGGTACTAAAGCAACCCATAACACAGAAGTCTTTGTTTAGGTGCCCTGCAAGTCAGTGCATAGAAAAAACGTAAGAGACAAAATCATTAATTCTCTCACTAGTAAGGACATCTGTTAAAGATTGAAATCTTTGTCTTCTACATGAAACAATACTTAGTGACATCATAGGCATACGGGCACCTTTGGACTTGGGGGAGCAGTGACCTTCTTGCCCGAAAAAATTACGCAATTCAGAACATGTGAATGTTGAAATTGGGATGCATAACGCACTCAAATTGCAATAGCTGGGGAGCTGCAGCCCCCTCCCCCAGCATGTACGATTATGGGTAATATAAATATTGATAAAATTACACTGTTTGGCTGAGACTGAGCAACTTTTGCTTGGAGTTACTAAGAGGTTTGAGCAGGGAATGGGGAGCAGGAATGGCCTGGTGACCCTAGTTTGATTCTGTCCAGGTGCCCTATGTGGATCGAGTTTGTTGTTGGTTCTTGCCTTGCTCCGAGGCTTTTTTCTCCGGGTTCTCCAGTTTTCCTTCCTCCACAAAAACCAACATCTCCAAATAAATTCCAATTAGACCAGGATAAAGGACCCCCATAATATCCAGTTAAGGTTGATGTGGCTTCCTTTCTAAAAAAACTGTAATTCAATTGGGCTTCCACTGTACATGCAAGCCTTAGAAACTGAGGTCTGACCATGTTCCATGAAGTAAAGTCTATGTTTACAATGGATTTGGTTTTGATSTGAAGTTTATATGAAATAATTCATATATATGAACTGCGGTTGAAGATGAAAGTGAAGAATGATCATCGCAGTAAATTTTCCAATTTAAGCAATTGGAAAGAAGAAGCCTGAAAAAATCAGGGCTTCAACGGGATTTGAACCCATGACCACCGTGATACCCATGCGATGCTCTACCAACTGAGCTAGCTCAGTTGGTAGAGCATCGCACCCGTATCGCGGAGGTCACAGATTTGGTTTTGTCCAAATTTGAAATAATTATTTAAGTTATTATGTGGCAAGGCAGTCTTGAAGAAAATACAAGGTTCTTCCTTGGTCAGGGTTGCATCATAAGTCATGGCCCACGGTCAGTCGCTCTTGTATGGACTTCGCTGGGTTCAGTAGTACTGCTATGACATTAGGCCAACACCACTATTGTAGAGCTCATGGGCTCAATTCCCGTTCAAGCCTGAATTTTTTCAGTCTTTAATTTCACAACTGCTTATGTTGTGTGTAATTTAACTGCGATGATAAATCATGCCTTCATATCTTTCGTCACAGTTCAAATACGGGATCTTTCATATATGCACTTGCAATGGCAAAAGGCATTCTTTAAAAACTATTTTAGACTATATAGCTCTCTGATTTGCTGTTGAAGAATGGCATATTTGTACCTTCATAGGTTTTCACTATCCTTCCTTGTCCTGTCTTATAATCCCACAACCTTATCCTGCTGTCTAGGGTTGACATGAGCAGATATTTTCCATTCGGGGATATCACTGCATGTGATATGGGCAAAGGTGGGTCTTCACTTGTCGAGATCGTTTTTAAACAGCAACCTGACAATACATCCCAGACACAGCACTTGCCGTCATAACTGCAGGATATGACAAGCGTTCCATCCAGGTTAAACTGCACTGCAGTAACTGCACTTCTGTGACCTACTAAAGTTTTGAGGCAGGAACCTGATAAACAGAAAGGCTAAC